CCCCAAAACCCCAAAACCCCTCAAAGCAAAGGATATTAATGAATAATTTTAAGAGTAAATATAAGTTATGATAATGATAAGTTATTAGCTAGCTTCTTCATGCTTTAGAATAAGCTAAATTAATTCACTATTTAAAGTAGGTTTGAATATAATTAATTTGTTGTGAGTATCAGAATAGTCTTTTGAAAAAGTTACCAATAGATCTAGTAATTGATCCACTATCACTTTTAGCTTCTTCTTCTTTTGTTCCATTATCAGAGAATAGATCAATCTCTACAACCTTTTTAGTCTTATCAATGGTGCTTGAATCGTTAACACGGAAAGTAGATCCTTAAGGAGTGATTCCATAGCTACTGCCGATAGAATTCGAAGATTTATGCTAAGAAATACTGCTTAGTTAAATAAGTTTCTATTACTTTAATCTCTTGATATCATTAATGTTGAAGTTAGCTGATTATCGTTTGGGGTTATTTAATATAAATTTGTTTAATGAACTGTCTGTTTTGGGTGGATTTAAAGGAGGCTTATCAATTTTTGCTGTTGATCTATCTTTGATAAGTTAATTAGCTAGTTATTGAGGTGAGATCCCTTTAAACTGAGTAATCTCACTGATTCTAGGACTGTGTTTTTAATCTTTAATACCTGGATGCTCTTACATGAAATCTTATTCTAAATTTTCACTTTATTTAATAGATGGTCTTTCAGTATGCAATTAAGTACTATAAGAGATGTTATTATTTAGTGGATCAAAAACTTTAATTTAAGGTATTGTGCTATCTGGGGAAGTTCTCTTTTGGAATTATAGAAGACTATGAGCAGCATGTGAGTTTTTCTTTTTATTAATTTAGTAAACAGTTGGCTATTGATTGGTTTAATTATAATCACTCTCATTCTTGTCTTTGCTTTGACTATTAGAAGGTGGAGTAGTAAAAGAAGGTTAAAAAAGTAATAAATTACTACTTGTTTTGGCACTTGCAACAGCAACTCGAGTTTTTTAATTATCGAACGTAACGTCCCCCGCAGGATTAGTTTCATTAGAATTTAGATTTATGTGTCTAACAACTCTAACCTATTAAGATTGCCTAGCAAACAGCTAATTGTTTGCTTTTAAAAATTGTTACTTTATAGGAATATTTTCAGGATTGTATAGATTCTAGGTAACTTAAGGATTCTGCATTTTTTGTGAAATGCTTAATTTAACTTTTTCTTTTATCTCGATTATCGATGATTTCTTGTCCTTGTTTATCAAAATGGAGTTTTATCCTGAAGAAGAATTTCGAGTAGGAATTTTTACTGTTCTATTAGCCATTTTAGAGAACTTCTTCTCAAGAATATTTTGCATTCTATTAAGCTTTAACTTCTTTTAATATTTTAAAAAATCCTGATTCAATCTAGCTTTTTCTCTCTCGTTTGGAGAATCCTTGTCTAATTCGACAGTACTGAATTCATCCTATTCCTTGGTTTCCATGATATCTTCTTGATAATCTGGCCTGCTTGTCTTACACATTGGAAGGAAGTCATTAGAATTAGAGAAGGATGGTACTCTATTATGATGATGATGATCATTAGTTAATGGACTTTGAAGACTTGTATATCCAGAGTCAGGGGGATTTTAGAAATGTGGTATATAACCTGTGTTGCTGCTAGTATTAGAATGATCTCTTTCTCCACCGCCATCTTATGATTTACCTGTCCCTGATATTCTACTTGAGCTATATTTGGAAGGAGTCTTTGAGCTCTTTCTTGCTAAAACCCTTTTCTTTTATCCTGTAGTTAAATACTCTGTGGTTGCTTTTTTATCAATATTTGGATTGCTGAAGCATGGTGTTGCATGATAAATTTCTCCATACTCAGAGTATTATGATTACTGCATATTGTCAGTTTAGTTCTAAATGGCAGTCTCATCGATTCTTCCAGTACTATTGGCAGTAATAGAATTTTCATTTATTGCATCTTATATTTGCCTATGATAGTCATCTAAAACTTATCTAATTTTGATAATTCTTCTTGAGATTTCTTTATGTTTTTATTTTGTCTAAAATCATCATGAATATAGCATATCTTACATCATCATATCTCCATTTGAGAATTATTTCGAAAGCACATTCATTCTTAGTGACGAATGGCATTTGCTTAATCTTTTAGTCCATTAACTTTGGAAGTAGTTTATCAATATCAAGGTCTAGAGTCTCAATTTAAAGTTTTCCCATAACAATAGAGAATAAACATATCTTAATCTGTAGCTTTTCAAGACCTTCAACAAGATTGATAGTGAAAGTCTAATTCCACTAGATAATCTGAGCTTACCCCTTGATTTAGATTCTCTCACTATTGAATAATTGATTCTTTCTGACTTCATCAGGAAAGACTTAGTTACCAAGTACTTCTATCTAATAAAACATCTCAAATTCTTTTAGTTTTTCTTTTTCTAGATGAGGATTCAATAAATTTTTATTAATGTAACATCTTGCGATACCTATATCCAATTTAGAGTTTTCTATTTTAATATCTTAAAAAGCCCTTTTTTAAAGTCTTGCCCCTAATAACTGTTGCTGTAGTAACTGCTTATGAAGTTCTTTTTCTAATTATGCTCTTTTTATCTCTAGCCTCTTAATCTTGACATTTTACCTTTCGTAAGAATGCAAAGTCTATGAGAAATTTAGATCAGAGCTTTAATTAGTAGTTGTTGTGGGTTGAGAATTGCGTCTATATACAAATAATAAAAGAAATCAGAGATTTTTTACATTTATACTATTGGTTAGTGGTGAATCTAAGTCTACCTCATTATATCATTTGGGCTGGGAGCTCTTTGATAATCGATTAATTCTTCATTACTCGAATTATCATGATCCTCTCTTTTCGGTTAACCATATTATTAGGACTTCATTTTGTCTAGAACAAGCTCAGTCTTTACCAGATTTATTATTTTACTTTGATTTTAGTCGTAATCATGGGTTTTAGCTATCTTTGAGCATTTTTAAAGTAAAGAAAGTGGTCTGTCCTTTTAAAATATATCGGCTCCACCTCCAGCGTTTATCTGCTATTCCTCATTGATCAGATTCACATCTTCATAATTGTTTATTTCATTCTACATCTGATCATAGAATTCCTCGCCTTGAGATTCGTATTAAGTTTTGGCATCATTACTGATAATCTATTTATGTTTGTGGCTTTGAGCCCTACTTGAAGAAGAATTAGAGTCAGATTACTCAAGTGCCAAGTTATTCAAGAACTCAAAATGTGTCTCAGGAAAGCTCTAGGAATGAGTTTACATATTTATAATTATATTCTTATTGAGAAAACCTTTTGCTTTTAATAGTACTTTCAAACAAATAAATTCTTCTAAATTTCCAACATATGGAATTTATTGATTCGTGGGGTTTTGGGGTTTTGGGGTTTTGGGG